GTGTATGTTTTTGTTCCACATTTATATCACTCAAAGGACATATTTATATCCCAAAGGAGTCTTGTTCCTGGATTACAACATAACACAAATAACGAACAGTAATAATCTGAAACTGAATTTCCTATGTGTATAGTGCATTATTTCAGAATAGCTTCTTGTAAAGTGTTTAACTTGACATGATGTTGAATCTATTTAACACAGCTTTTCTGTTAAAATCTTAACATGTAGTGAAATCTAACAATTTCTCCAGAACACAGGTAGAAATACAAAGTACAAATGATAAGAACGCTACCAAAAGGGACTTCTCTGAGGATCAGATTTGAATCTCAGATTTGTTTTAAACCTAAATTATCTGAAAATATGTTACTGGGGAAATATTCAATCAAAATGATTACTATCGGCTGTAAATATACAGGACCCTTTAACAACCAAAGGTAATATGTCTTTTATATTATTGCTGGGAATTCCTTCAAAGCCCAAATCATTTTTACTTTGCAAAGCTCCTTAATTTATTTTCCATTGTTGGGAGGAATCTGCTGCTAAACTAAAAATACAGTTTTCCCCCCTATTATCTCTGCACATAAAGAGTCAGGGAGCTTCAGGCTAGAATTAACACAAGATAGGCTATTATGACTCTAAGAGCATTTAACAGTCCCTGTTGACTTTGCGGTTTGCAGTAATAAATATCCTCCCCATAATCTCTCTCTTTTTTTTTTTCTAAACTTGATGCCTTGAGGAGTTCTTGAAGCTTGTGATAAAATACTAACAGTATTCACCTATTTTGGTGCTACCTTGGATTTCTTTATCTCCTTGGGCAAAGTCATTTAAAGATATGATACTTGCAAATAAATGCCTTTTAAAGTATAACCGTTGATTGTTTGAATCCCCTACAGAAACATGGTTTCCTACTGTACTTGATTACTGAAGCAAAACTAAATCTCCTAGTGCAAAATAATGGCACTATTTTATAATGAATGTCTTCTCTTTCACTAAGGAAGAACCTTGCAATCAGATGTGAAGGTTATATATGATGCAGTCTGCAACTCAAAAGTATCTTATTATCAGCAATCAAGGTAATCATTAAAATCAGATTTCTATGAGGAGGGACTAGGTATTTAGGGGATTTAACTTAACACTGAACTTCATGCTAAATGGTGCAAAATACTAATGCTTTATTAAGAAGACACTAAAATTACTGAAACTGAGGTCTAGTCTTGCATACATAAGTACCAACAATACACTCTCTTTCTGTTACACACACATTCAACTTTAATAAAAGGATGGTAAGTAAAATACTCAGTCACACTTCAGATTCACCACACTCCTCAATATTTTCTGAAATTAATGAAAAATATATTTTTTAGGAAAATGGAAGTTAGTTTAAAATTATTTCCAAACAGATAATATGTATTGATCACAGACTTCATTCCCACCTCATACTTGTTTATTCTGGCATTATTTTTACTTGACAGCAATTCATTACTGACATTATTTGAAAACGGTATCTTTAGAGAAACTATCTTATAGTTTTAGTGTTTTAAAAGATTGCTTCATACCTGTGTTAGATGTAACTTTCCCTCTCCTACTATAAATGAAGCAGTTTTTCGCTTCTTATGA